AACCTATTGAAAAAGGGCAAGGGTGTTGTGCGGGATTTAGATGACTATAGGTTTTACAGAGTTAAAGATTTTGGCCAAGATCCTGCAGGAGCGGTTGCAGTCAGTTGCCGAGTCTTTGCTGGTTCCGGAGCAGACTTGCGCAGTGAGGGGCTGAACAATTCAAAGCAACTTTAATCTGAACTGCACAATCATAGAGGGTGTAAAAGATGACGATGAGGCCGCGCTTATTAATTTAGATCAGTCTAAGCCATTTGATAGGGTTGACCATCGCTACCTTGCTGCCATCTTGCAGGCCGCCGGATTCGAACCCGACTTCTGCCGCTGGATTAGCCCGTTGTATCGCTCCTGCAATGCTGTAGTGCAGGTGAACGAATAGCTGTCGGGCGCTTTTGCGCTGTCTCTGTCGGCTCGTCAGGGTTGTCCACTGTCGCCCCTACTTTATGCTTTGGCGTTGGAGCCTCTCCTACGTCGGTAAAGGACAGGGCGTGCAGTCCTGCCCTACGTGGAATCGCTGTCCCTGGAGGAGCTCGAGCCAGGGTTCCCGCGTAAACCTCCCCAGTTTTTTTTTGGGCTCCACTTTTCTTTTATATCGACTGGGTCAGATTTATTTATTTCCTATGACCGTATAAATTTTCTCCTTTCCCTTTCTCTTAGTGAGATAGCCTCTTCATTCTGTCGTAGGGTAGAATACAACGGCCTCTCCTTTTTGATGGTTGGACGAGTTATGTTTATTTTGACTTGTTTTGATATATATTTCATATTATGATAGTTTGTTTTAGGGATCATTCCCTCCCCTCTCATTGTAAATAATCCATATATTTTTATGTATGAAATATTTATATTCATCAGATTTTTATGTCATGGGGCGCGTTTTTTAGGTTCCCTGAGATTATGAGGTATTATGGTATATGGAGGATTAATTGGTGAGAGACGAGTTTTTGCGTTGAATGCGGAAATTGTAACGAGTGAATGGGTCGTGAATCAGATTAGATATAAGATAGTCAGTGAAAACCAGCCTCAACCCCTTTTCGGCCTTGTGCCATAATTGTATGTTTCATACTAAAAATATAATCGTCAGCGAACCCGTTTACTAAATGTAACATGGAGAACTGTGTTACGATTGATACTACTCAGAGAGAAATAGACAACATAACAGATACTCTTCGTGTGACCATTTCACACATTTTCTTTTTATTAGTTGATTTTGGCATTGAGTCACTTGGTCCAAGGTTGGCAATAGTCCGGGCTTGGTGATCTTATTTCTTTTCTGAGTTTGTTCCAGTGACAGATGAACATCTGGAAAATATTACATTCGTCATTCTACCAAATCATAGGGAAAATTCCTGCAATATTAACTCATTTGTTCGAATAAATTTGCTTGTTAAACATGTCTGTTCCTTGATGCTTTTCTTTTCAGCCAGAAGTGTCACTTCTTTAGTTTCCTCTTCTTACCTACTGTTTTTTCTAGCACCTGTTGAAAAAAGTAGTTTAATGTTGTGACACTGTTTATACTCTTGAGATTTCTGCCACAGCCACTTAGGAGCAACTGACAAAAATCTAGAACCTATCCTAGAATGGCTAACCTTATATTTCCTTAGAAATGTCTTTGTCCTGCTGATATTGTTTTATCATTAAGATCATTATCATTAAGATTAAGATATATGAAGATCCCATTTTTTTTAAAGTAATATTTTGGTGGCATTTTTTTCATTTTTATGGAATCGTTTCATTTTCTGGAGTATTGCATTGAGAATAAAGCGAATTATTTCTACTGCTTTGTCTTCAACTGTCTCAAGAGACTATTTTAGTATTCCTTATTTGTACTTATGTGGATATTTATGCCTGGGAGCTTGAAGTTACGAAGTCATGAATAACCTTGTTTATAGCCACAATTTAGAACATTCAGTCAGGATTGAACTCACTATAGTGACTTACTAGACTAGCTTGCTAATCATCACCATTGAATTTGTATATTTTTACGTCAGTGTCGCTGAAGATTAATATCTGACTTGTTATTGTAACAGAATCATTGAAATATAGAATCTTCAAGGAGTAAAATTCTTCTATCCTCATTATGTGCCCTAGAAATTTAAATTGTCTCTTTCCGATTCTAAGTATGTCTTCTTTTTGTTTCCATTTTCCTTAAAACTTCCTCGTTACTCACATGTTCAATCAATGTTATTCTCAGCCTCCTTCCGTAAAACCTCATTTCTGTTGCCTAAATTGTCTTCTCTTAAATTTGTATTTTAAGCACTATGGACTTATATAAATAGTTGACTTAGTGAAAGTTTTCCAATTAGTTATAACTTGCGTATATTTATTTTATTTTTTAGAAATAATTTTTGACTATTCAAAAATATTGTCTATAATTTCCATCTAAATTCACTCCTGATTAATAAACCATGGTTAGTTGGATTTAAGTACGATCGATTATAGGTTTATGTATTATAGTTTATATTGCAAGTAAATAGCCATATAAATAAACTATAAAATTTCTTTTCTTACATTTCTCTCCTGTAGAATTTCTTTCCGATTTATTGCTTCCCTGCCACCTACAATATTCAAAAGTTTAAATGCAACGTCAATCACCATCTTCTGTCTTCCTAAATTCTATATAGTGTTCTTTCTTCTCAGATCTGGTCACAAAGTTTTTCTCACTTTTTCATTCCAAGTAACCCGTGAATCCTAATATAATTATTGCCTTGCTTGAGATGAAATGATTAAAAAAAGATTAATTATAATTTATGATACATACATACATATATATATATATATGTATATTATAAATTAATTGATTTAAAATATGTTTTTTTTCCGCTACACAGTTCTAACCATGTTTCAAAAATGGAAGCTAAAAGCCACGAATTTAATTTTGTAATTAAATTAAAGACATTAGTTCCATTTCATCCTCAAGCGAATTTTGGAGTAACTTTTAAAATTACTGGGTTTTAAAGACACAGCTAAAATCACGTTTCCATGATTACAGATAAATCTACTTCAATTGGACAAGGGTTGTCTGGGTTTTCCTTATGTCTGTATCATTGTATCGGTTATTAGCTACATTTTGGTAAGGGGTAGGGATATATATATATATATTACTTTTTTATTTTTATTTATTTATAAATTTAACTTATTTTTATTTATTTGATATTATTTTTTTCATCTTTATATATTAAGCTATTTATTAATTTTGCTTTAATCTGATTTTATATAAAAATAAGTATTTAGTGATATGTCTACATTTTTCTTTCTGTTTAGTAATTTATGTTGATTTTTTAAACTATTAATTTGTGAGTTTTCTTCTAAACATTGTTTGTATTTCTTACTATATACTTTTTTAGGTTGATACCCATTTTATTATTTGCAATTTAAATGTTGGTTGAAACTTTTTTCTTTTTGTTCCATTACATGTTTTGATAGAGCGGTATTACTGGCATATTCTTGAAAACATTTTATGTTCATATCTTCTTTTAGAGTTCTAATGGGGGTTTATTTGAAGACCAACGAAAGTTCGTTTTATGACATTTTGTTAACTTTTTTCTTCCTTTCTGACGAGTGATCTCATTTCATGATTGAAGCTGTACAACTTTAAAATATCGGTTTTCGTAGAAAGTTTGTATTCGTTTTATTAAAAATGCGTTTAGGGTTTAAGTTGTTAAATTTTTATACATTATGTAACATGTTAATTTTAAATGTCACGTTATGCCTTAGTTTGTTGTACGTCTTGTTTGTTTTTTAATTATTAAATATATTTAGTATGTTTGTTCCCAAAATGAAGTAAACTAATACAATGCTGTTATTCTTTTTCTAGAGTCGGCTTTTCAAGTTAATATTATATAATATTGTTACATTAACTCTGTGATGAATTTCTTTAATTTTGTAGGTATTTTACAAAGATCGCTCTTACTTAGTATTTTTTTAAATTAGTAACAAAAGCAACTTATAGCAAGAACTGTTTCCAACCACACACAAAAGCGAATAACTTTTGTTACCATGTGAACTGTCTTGAAAGCCAATTGTTTTACAAAGTAACTGGATTTAAAATTATTTCTAATTTTAATTTCTGATACTTTTGTTTTAATGCGTCATCAGACGTATGAAATCATTTGAAAATGGAAGTGGAGGATTTTTTATAGTCCTACACATAATGTAAACTGCACAGTGTTTATTTTTACTTTTTAACAACGTTCACTTACCCACGATGGCACGCCATTGCTCTGAGAAAAACACTTCTTTCAATACTGACATATATTTACATATATGCATATAAATATATACTGGTACATGGGCAAGTATATATATATATATATATTTATGCACACCCTTTGCTAGATTCAGTGAAGGTCTTGTAAAGGAAACAATACACAACAGGTAAGAAAAAGTGAATGTTTTTTATTTAATTTTAAAAGTTTAAAAATATGAACTACTTTAACAGTTTTTAAATTCTATGTCCTTTCTGGACGTAAACCATTATGGCTCTCCATACTTTCCTTTTCTTTATTGTCTATAAATTGTCGTGCCTTTTTGGGAAAGATAGCGGAGTGGTTCTCGTTGCATTCACAGTTTGGAATTCATACTTTTCTTCCTGTTAGACAGATTATCACCCAAGTTTCTGAGTTTACTCTGTGATTTTATCCATAGCTGGGAGGATAAGAAACGGATTTATACCTTTACCAAGAATATTTGTGCAAAAGTGAACGCAGTAAATCTAGGTAGAATATGAACTCGGCTTGCCGATCCCACTTTCTGTACTGATAACAGTTGCGCTGACTGCACGTCCACTTTCCAATTTAGGCGTCATTATTCGCAAAAGATGTTATATGATTTCCTGATGATATTGTTGTTGTTGATTTTATGTAAAATTTAATGAACAATAGTTCGGATATATTTTTTTTACTTTATTATGCATCACACACAAACTGGAGCTTAGAAATTTATTCCATGTAATCCAGTAATTATTATGATAATGTTTGTTCAGTAATATGATTACACTAAATAACTTGCGGCGATATTACGTCTAAACACCGGTTTCCATATGATCACCGAAGGTAAGCAACGTCGAACCTGGTCAGTAACTATATGGGTGACCGCTTGGAAATACAAGTTGATGTAAGCTTGTGCTGATGATATAATAAATAACGGCTTGGAATAGTTAATCGGAGAGCCGAGTTTCAATTCCACTTCGTTATATTCCCTTACACGCAAATAGTTTTCGAAATGGTATGAATCCACCTCTTCTCGCCCCAGTTACGAGTTAATTATTTAAACTTGTATAACTAAATCATTATTATCTCCAAAAAAAAAAGTCTTACAATCTAAATATATTTTCTGGCTTTAAATATCCGGTAAAGTATTGATAAGACGTAAAAAACGAATCAGTCAATCAATTAAAGGTAATAATATGTCAATCAATTAAAGGTAATAATATGGTTAATATTACAGAACACTAGAATTATGAAAATGTTTCTATTTTTAAATGGCAATTTTAATGTAAACATGAATTATGTCGTATATAGGACGTATACATATCATACAATGTTTATGACATTAGTTTTAAAGTCCAGCGGTGACTGTTAATTATTTCTTTCGTCCTTCCTTCATTTCATCCTTCCTTTGGCGCCATGCGTTATACACGCTTGGGAGATCATGTCTCTTTTCGATTCATGATTGACTTGGCAGAAGAATTCCAGCAATAGGCTGCAGTTACTTTCTGCGATAAACTGGCTTGCAGCAAAAGCTATATGACCCAGTTCGTCTCCTGCTATTTAGAGACGGATTCATACTTTCCCCAAAGGTATTTGTGCGTAAGTTAATATAACGAATGTATTCGAACTCAGCTCCCTGATTTCTCATTTCGAACCGTTATCGATCAAACCAGCCGCACATCCAAGCTTACAACAACTGGTATTCTCAAGCTGTCACACATCTGTCTAGGAAGACTTCGGTGATCGGACTAGAACCTGTGTTTCAACATGATATGGCCGTGATGTATTAGAAACCAAAGTGATTGTATTATGATTACTGAAAAAATAGCAATTGCAACATTTTTTTTTTAAATAACTGTCACAGATTTACTGCCAACAGATTTTTCAGTAAAGTGACAAAGTTTTAAAGACAGTTGCAATCAACGGATTTGCATGAGAATTTGACAGCTCAGAAGTTATGTCTCTTCTGGTTCAGAAGACTCATGATCTTCTTTTAAGAGACTATCATTCTCTCATGCAGCTATAAAGCCTGGTTAAATACTATGTTATAAATAATACAAAATCCGTTGTCCAAATAAAGATATTTAGAGCGTAAATGTTTACTCTTCACTAGTCATTGACAATAAATGTGAATGTTTTTATTTATTCTTAGTGTGGATTTGACGATACTTACCATTTTCAGGTGTGCTCAAGAAAACCTTACAGTAATTAATTCAATATAGTTATTCCACTTCATGTCGAGTGCAAAACGTGTAAAGCAAGAAGGCGCTATGAGTTGCTTTCATTTCTTACTTCTGATTGAAGGTAATTTTCGAAATCAGCTGCCAGTTTTACTTTATCGAACTTATTTTTAAGACAAGTGGAAATACTTGTGACATCTGCATAAATACCGAGTTGAGAACTGATGACGTCGGAAAAGTCGTTGATGAAGCTAAGAAACAAGTAGTTCCAAGGATGGAGCCCTGACGTATAACCGCATTAATGCGAACTAGTCAAGAAGAGTGGTCGTTCAACACGATTTCCCTTATTATGATTATATTTTTGACAACTAAATGTAACTTTTACTACACTTGAACGTGTTTTTGTCCTCTCTCCACAACTTTGATCTCAGTTTCTGAACAACTTAATATATGCATGCAATCATATATTCTGTTTTAGGAGTTATTTCTTCATAATACTGAATATGCTACGAGATTTATTTATTTATGAACGTCTGTCACTGCTAATAATGATAATCCCAATGTGGGCAAGTAAAATTAAATTTGTGATGTTTGAATGACATGTACCAATTATTCTATATATAAGTACGTAAGTACATCCGTATGTAAGTTGATATATGAATAAATTCGCAAATTGTATGAATGGAATTACATCAATAATTCCGTACATTCTATGTATATATAGAGGTACATCAATACACCTGTACTTTCTATGTATATATGGAAGTACATCAATAAAGCTGTATATTTTATGCATGTATGGTGGTATATCAATAAATCCGTAGATTCTATGTAAGTATAGAAGTCTATAAAAATGCGCAGATTGTATGTATCTATAGAAGTATATCAATAAATCTGTAGCCTAACAATGGAAAAAAAAAATTTCTTTTACACAAGCATTTATTTTTTTAACACAATCTTATTTCTTATTTCTTCATTAATTATATATTCAATATTATACACTGATAATTTCAAATCAAAATTCATCTAATAACTATGCCAGGCTACAGACTTAATGATCCACTTTTGTACGCATGTATGTATCTAACTTACGTTCTGTTTCTGTATTTATTTCTTTAGCTCTGCTAAAGTGAAAGTGAAATGACAGCTACACACGTAATCGTAGCATCCTTCCTCACAGGTAAGTAAAAAGGCATTTTGTCGTTGTCTCCACAGCTAAGATCCAATTTAATTTACTTTGCATCTATTCGCTTCATGAAACTAGTATCAGTATTAACTGTTAATAAAAAGTAATTCATATCTTTTAATGAAGCAAGGAAAAAAATAAACCATTTTATTTACATATTTTAAATAAATGCTTATCAATTTCTGATTGTTTGATACGCTTTGTGAATAAACAGCATTTTCAGTTCCAAAAGTAAAGCAGAGGGAAAATCGTAAGAACAAGTTAATAGAAAAGTATAAATGGATTAGCGTCACTTCTTCTATGTGCCGTGTCTCTTTAGAACATAGACGATCATCGTATTCCACAATTTCTTGTCCTTTGTAGCTTTTAATAAAGTTTGTCTTTTTCTTATCCCTTCCTTTCTTTTCACCAATTCATTAAGCTAACAGACAAAAAAGAATGGGTCACCTGCACCGAAGCAACGGTAAATCAGAATTAAACAAATCCAAGTGTTCTTCATTCCGCTTCCACGAGAAAATAAAGTGGAAATTTATTATTTAAAGATTATCTGAGAAAATATGTTTTTTAAAAACGCCAGATATAAAGGGTTATGCGGTCGTAGAAATTATCTGACAGCCATGACTAGGTTCTTCTGCTTGTGTGGCATGGTGCAGAATCCTGTTACTAGACATAGGGTCTTCCAGAAGCCACTCGTTTGACCCAGGTTAGCACTATCTCCTCAAAACACTTGATATAGGCCTCCGTGTTGAGGCTGAGGCCCTGTGGGATGATAAATGTAGGCATAACGTCGCCATCACGAGTAAGCACTCCAAACACCATGATGTTGACCGGATATTTGGTTTTCATCACTCTCGGTAAATCTTTTGGGGACACAACAATCCAACGTTCTGTGTGTTAACCATCGATCCTGGAAGAAATTTTTTTTTTTTTTTTTGTCTGAGACAAAGCAAAACATGTTTGGTTGGAGAGAATGCTTGAGCTTATTCAAAAGCTATGTAGCGCAGTCTTTCCTCTTGTCTTTCATGGGTTGGAAAAAAAATTGGCCCTTTCTCATCTTGTATGAGAAATACCCAATGTCTTCATGCACTACCTGCCTGATAAGAAACTCATACACTCCTATTCCCATGGCAATGGACCTTGACTTGGAGGGATCGTTGGCTGGATCTCACCAACAAATTGCGAAGTTATTTTCTTATCAGAACGATCAAAGTGAGTTTTCCGAGCTGCTGTACCTTTGTAATCACCACTAGACTCGTCCAACTCTTTTCGAATCCTCTACACGGTCCTCGGATTGACACCCAAACACTCTGGAATGTTCGCATTGGAGATTCCAACGTGAATGCCACACAGTACGACATGCTGTTTCCAAATTTCTGGCGTAGTGAATTGCCTCATGGCGCTCTTTTCCTCACAGTTGCCAACTGACCCTACTATGCTGTGCAGTCAACAAAATAAAAAACAAACAACTCACATGCGCGAAATTAAAAATATAAAATGGCGACAATTTATCTAACGGACCCGGTAGTTTGTAGATTATAAAATATATTGTGGGTAATTTTTAATATAAAAATGTATTACTGGTAATTTTTTACTATATATATATATATATATATATATATATATATATATATATATATATATATCGTAGGAGATTAAAACATGTTAAAAATCGCTACACAATAGCAATCCTGTTTCAACACTACAACTGTGTTACCTCGGGCGATGGTAAATTACTAGCGAGTGAACGGTTAATTTAATTTCAAAATCAGAATACTTCCTCTATTTTCGAAAATAAAAACAATATTAAAATTAGGCTTATGAAGTTTTACCGTGATTAACCAATCAAATGTTACCAACGCTAAATTCAAACTAATCGAAAAAATTTATATAGTACATGACATGAAATTTCTCCATATAAATCCTAGAGAATTTTATTTGAGACACGTACAAATGGTTACATTATTTCGAAAAATATAGAGAAGTATGACTTTCATCTTTCACAAGAAGTTAAATGGAAAGAGGTAGGGAGATAATCTAACTTAATGTTAAGTAGTTATATTCTCGGTCAGCTTCCTACATATTGTAGTTGATAATTAAAAGGCTTTTTTAAGAAACTGGTAACCATTTAAAAAAGAAAATCAGATCATAAATACAAAACTACTTTGGCATATTAATATGCGACAGTAAATATGCGAAGTTAAGAGCATCCATATAAGGTGTTGATAATACTAAATAATCAATGTAATATGTTAATAATACTAACTAAACACCTATTCCAATCTTATATGAAAAATAATGCTAACCCAAGATATATTCACCCCAATTCTAACCACCCTCCATCTGTAACCAAATATATACCCTCATCTATAAAATGTAAGATTAGCAACATCTGACAAAGATGTGTTTGATAAATATAACGGTGTTTATAATACTGCTTTAAAAATATCGGTTACAAGTACACTAAATCAAGTACAGAGAACATGATAATAGCGATCTAAGGAAAAGAAATAGGAATAGAAAAATCATTTTTATATGCCCTCTTTTCACCAGATGGTCAGTACTAAGTTAGGCCAGAAATTCCTCCATTTAATTGATAAATATTTCCCTAGAAATAATCCTCTCAGTAAAATATTTAACAGAAATACACTTAAACTAAGTTATAGCTGAACCGATACTCTTGAAAAGATTATAAAGAAACACAATAATAAAATTTTAGACCAATTTAAAAATTTAAATGATAATACACATTCCAACATAAATACTGTTGATAATATTAAGCAATTTAAATGCGAGAATTCTAATGAATGCCCATTACAAAACAAATGTTTGACAAACTCTTTTGTTTATTTAAGTACAATTTCTATAATAGAGAATCTACCAGGCGAAAAATTTATATTGGTAGTACTAAGAATTCTTTTAAGACTAGGTGGTAACAACATATCTTATTCTTCACCAATAGTACTTATAAAAATAGTACATATCTTTGTAAATATTTTTTGGAATTTAAAAGAAACTAATAAAACTCATGCGGTAAAATGGAAAATTTTTAAGAAACCATAACATGTAGATATTTAAATGAACCTTGTTTTTTATGCTTACATGAAACATTATGAATAATCAGATTTTCTGATAAAAAAATCCTTATTAAACCAAAGAAGTGAATTAACTATAAATTGTAGACAGAGCCTACCTCTACTTTACAATATGGTTAAACATTGAATTTTAATAATTTCTTATAGTAATACCATATATACTCGCAGATAGGTCGCTCCACCAGATAGGTCGCCCCACCGGATAGGTCGCACCTCTAGTTTATGGCTTAATAATTGATGATTTACTGTTGACTCGCAGATAGGCCACACTATAATCTGGGGAGTTTCACAGCCCTTTTTAAACTTAAGAATCATCAGATATCTACCTTTATTTCTACCTTTATTTCAAAACACAATGATTAATACACTTTTGCAGTTAAAATACATTTCGTCAATCATCATGTAAACTAGTAAACAAAAAGAAGTAAATGTTGTGCCGGTATTTTTATATTTACCGCATATTATTTTTATATCAAGTCAACTCGACAAAAAATAAGATAACTACAGAAGGAAATGTTACGGTACATTTAGAAAAAAGTGTTTATCTATTTATATATCAAGTTACAGTTTTAAAATTCATTCGGAACTAAATCCCAAGAATTCTTCTTCATTATCATCGCTGTCAAATATCATTCTCATTTCTCCTAATCGATTTCCATGTTCTTCTGTATAATTTAATACTTTTAATTTAAAACCTCCTTCATAACTCTTTCTTTTACTCATGATTAGACTTTGCAACAATTAAAATTATAAACTATAAATTTGGCTACCAACTATATCGCTGTGCAATGCAAAATAGCGCAAACGTTTTGGGTACTAGATTCATGCGCTTTGTTATTTGTAAATAACGCTTACGAAAGCCTTTTAATGTTATATGAAACAACCATTAAAGAAAATTATCTCATAATGAATATATTTCATTTCTTTAAGTCATATTTTCCAACGTATTTTTGACAAAATATATATATATTGCAGAATGAATTGTAGGACTATTTTTTCTTTGTCAATAAACATCTACACGTGGTTCCTTCGTATGCATGTTCAGGGTTTCTATATCAGTCCAGTGCAAGGGCCCCAACTAAATGGTGACTGATGGATCAATGAATATTTCATAATTTTATTTATTTACTGTGATAGACATGTAAATCTAGCAGCTTGAGGCAAGATTAAAGCAGTATGTCAGTATATATGATAGATAAATTGTTTCTATACAGAGAAAAACCACAGCTTTAGTGTTTATGGGTATCATTTCCAATTTCTCAGAAATCAAGATGACAAGGTGGTGTTGTTTTACATTTATTTCGAGCGGATAGGTTGCATCCCTAATATTTTGTGAAATATTTGGTAAAAAAACGTGCGACCTATCTGCGAGTACGTACGATAATTAATAGACGAACTGCGATACACCTTATATTACTTATTCTATTTGTAAGAGTCATTTAAATTTAATATAGCTCTGTATTGATGTTTAGTATTATTAACATCTTATATAGATGTACAGGTGTTTAGTTAGTAATATTGACATGTTACATTGATAAGTTATTATTAACAACTTATATGGATGCTCTTTACTGAACGGTTGCATATTAATATACAAAAGTAGTTTTGTATTTATAATTTGATTCCCTTTTTAAAACGTTAAAGTTATTTACCAATTTCTTAAAGAGGCCTTTTAATTATCAATTACCGCATTTTATGTATGTTTATGACCGACGTTAACATTATGTTAGATTACCTCGTACCTCTTTCCCTTTAACTTCTTGTGAAAGTTGAACGCCATATTTCTATATATTTTACTAAATAATGTAACCATTTGTATCTGTCCCAAATAAAATTGCCTAGGATTTATATGCAGACAACTTCATGTCATTACCTTTATACATTTTTTCGGTTATTTTGAATTTAGCGTTGGCCATGTTTGATTGAGTAGAACACACAAGCCTCATTTTAATTTTGGTTTGTTTGTTTTTTTCGAAGAAATAAGAAGTATTCTGCTTTAACTTAAATTAATTGTTCACTCGCGAGTAAACTATCATCACCCTAGAAGACACATTTGTAGTGTTGAAACAAGATCGCTATTTTGTAGCGATTTTTAACGTTTTTGTTTTAATCTCCTATAATAGATAATATTTAACTCTACTCTGTATTGAGCCTTCTTTTAAAATAAATGTTACGAACAGGGAAATTATTCTTCATTTGTTCTCATCTTACCTGGATATATACATATATATATATATATATATATATATATATATATATATGTGTGTGTGTGTGTGTGTGTGTGTGTGTGTGTGTGTATATATATATATATATGTGTGTGTGTGTGTGTGTGTGTGTGTGTGTGTGTGTGTGTGTGTCCTGTTGACTTTCCTTCATGTGCTTCGACAAATATACCAGGTTTAATCTCCAGAAGAACACAATACTGTATTTCATATTCAAATGTTTTACGAAAACTGAATTCCTCGTAGAAAATATTCCTCCTTTCGTCTTTCTAATTATTCTTTGTCCAACTTTAGTTCCCACGTTAAGCAATAAAATAGTTGTCATTAAATGTAAGTTTTCATTAAATAAAGTTGTTATAGAATATGGTTTATAATGTTGTAAGGAGCCATTATAATTCCAGGAACTGTTCGTGAAATTATACTCATTTTTTGTGTTACTTATATGGATACAATAAGGTTTCAGCCGACCAATTCCAGATTAAAATCGGATTCAATGAATATAAAAAAACAATATCCAAAGAAGCAGTAGACCATATCTAGAATGATGAGAGAAGCGTATATTAACCTTTCTAAGATGGAGTTTAAACACAGCTGTAGAGAGAGAATATGGAAAGAAGCAGCCCATATCGACTATATGCTTAATCCAGACATGTGGAGTTTTCAGTGCAGAATGGTTTTCTTTGCAATTGGGAATGAATTGGAATTAATATACGTTCATGAATTAGAGTCATTTGATGGTGCGTGGTTGAATGTAAATGGTATCGTTGGCATAGATGAATGAAAAAAAAACGTATGTTTATAAGCTACCAATTTGCAGTTTGTCAATTTTTCTCAAAAAACAAAAGGCTCCTTCTTTCTTTACGTGTAACATCTGAAAAGGGTTGTAAAATAGAGCGACTGAAACATGGTGATAACAGTATCCTTAGGTGTCATGCGTGATACTTCGCTTGGGCGATAATGTCTCTTTTTAATTCATGAATGATATGACGGAATTCTCGCAAGGCTGCCGTTACTTTGTGTGGTAGAAAGGTTGCCAACCATGGTTATACGGCTCAGTCTCTCCTGCTATTTAACCCATAGCTGAGAGGAGAAGAGAGCGATTCATAGATTTCCCATGGCTATTTGCGTGCAAGTGATGTAACGAACTCGACTAGAATTTGAACACGGCTCTCCGATTTCTCACCCCAAGCTGTTATGCATTGCACCACCCACACATCCAACTTAATACCTGGTATTCCTAAACGGCTCCTATCTAGATACAGACTAAGGTCGAGGTTGCTTAACTTTTGTGATCTGACGAGAATTGCTGTTTCAAACTGATATGGCTGTAATTGATAAGAGTATAAGTAACACAAAAACTGAATTCACTTTTCTGAATAACTCTTCGAACACCAATATCAACGTGATTAACAAAGATTTAGTAGATACATGCATTTTTAGATGTGCTTATCATTTAAGAGGTATGTATATAATTTCAGTTGCAGGGATTGTAAGTGCACAACTGCCTTTCCCTATCTATGGAATCGGAGGCATCGGGAATTTAGGCTATGCAGGAGGAGCCGGCGCTTTCACTCAAGGTTTCGGACCATTCCTAGGATTTTCCCCTTACAACGGAATAAGGCATACACTACCATTACCAGTTTCTGTCACAGAAACAGCCGGAACAACCCATACAGTGGCCCATACGTCAGCGGGAGCTGCACCACATCATTCTGCTTCACACGTCAGTAAAGCTGTCACTGTGGCTCATCACATTCCCACTACACATGTCACTACCGTTCAGCATCCAGTACCGGCGGTAACTACCCACGAGCAACATGTAAATTATGGTCCAGCTTTCGCTGGAGTAGAGCCTTACTCACCATTCTTCTATGGACCTGGATTTTCACCGTTCGGCCCCCAATATACGACGAGCTTTTTTAAACATCACACAATACCAACCGCCAGTCATTCAACAGTCGTAAAATGTAATTATTACCCTTATTAAAATACTCCTTTTATTTTTTAATTTATTTATTTTTAGATATTTTGAATATTAATCTAACATTCAAGTCAGGTCCTTAAATAGCCTCGTTAGATATAGATTCTCATATGACTGTCAGACATGGCATCCGTCTCATTCAGAAATGTCTAAACCAGTGCTTCTCAACCTTTTTCTATTTATGGCCCCCTTTAAAATTGCTCATTTTTATGCCCCCCCCCCTCCTAAGTAGTGAATCAATTAATACTTTTATAGGAAATTTCAAGGGTTTGTTTTTAATCTGACTACCGGGTGAGGGTGCATCTCTTCATTAGTACAGTTGATTGAGGCATATCGACGTGAGAAAAATAATTATTTCATTTCATTTCTTGTACTGGTATTTATTTCCTATTATTAACAAATCAGCATAATTAATAATGAAAATTAATTAAAAAAAAGAAGAAAAAACAGTTTGTACCACTGAAAAAATGGCATATATAAGCGGTTATTGTGAGTTAGTAACTGCGTAGATCATTCAATAAATAAATGGAGGTAATTTTGTGAATACAGCTCAAAAATATATTTCATTTACATAATTTTAGTTTATTAGAACTAAAATATTGAGGGAAACAATATGTAGCATTGTGCCTCCCTTTCATTGAACTTGTAGCCTCTAAATCCCCAAATTTATCTACATCCCCCTTAAAATCTACCTGGACCCTTTTGTGGCCTTTTACCTCCTCTTTAAGAACTACTTGTTTAAACTATCAGCTATGTACAACCATTTTGTCAGACCAATGATCAAAAATAGTTTCAAGCAAATGAATCCTATGGGTTTTGCATCAGATCTTACAGACAGGATAACATACAAAGAACTTTACCAAAATATCAAAAATCATTATTTACATTGATCGGACTATCGTCCTCATGTTTGTTGCCATATTTATCACAACGTCTCGGCCGTTGTACACTCTGGCCTTCTTTAGGTGGTTGGAATGTTGAACTGAAACCTTTATTTCGCTCGCTGGGGTAGAATGTTCTAGTTTCAGGTGTCATGTCTAATGGATATCAGCTATCTCCTGTTAATTTCCCTCTCCAAGTTCTCCACCACCTTAACCAGGTATTGAACTCACACTCTTTGGATCCTGTCATTGGATCTAACTAATGCCTTTATCCACTGTGCCATGTGTCTTTGAAGACATCTGTGGATGAATTTCTGGGACTTATAAACCTAATGTTTTCAGCAACCATTTTTCCAGAGCACATATAATTTTCGTTGTTATTATTGCCTTTTCTCTAACACTCCTTATAACTAGTTCCCATATTGTATTCATTTCTATTTTTGGCATAGCATATGTGCTGATTCCTTAAGTTTACGAATTTTCCAATGATGTTCTCTGTCTATGATTTTAACCTGATCCCACAGAGGACGGTGATCTCCCTTCTCTCTCCAAATATGGTCAGCCACGCCTGATTTTTCCACTGCCCCTCGTGTTACAGCTTTCTGGTGTTCTTGAAGCCTTACCTTATCAAAAATCATATCACATGAAAACTTCCAACGGTAACAACGAAATGGGTAATACATGTAACTTGAAAGGAAATAATGATATAATCAAGATGTTGCCTTTCCACACTAACTTGTTAGAGGGGGAACTCACGTCAATACTGTAAAGGGAGATAATAGACAGTTGGAAAACTCTTGGAACGCCGTTTTAAGAAAAAGATTTTATGAATTTCAACCGATAGTAAAGCTAACTGCTCGATCAATGCCGAATGCTTCCTGTGAGAAAACGGATGATCTCACCATTGCCATTAAGTTAGAAATAAACATACTATAGCGTTACCCAGTACACGACATTAAATACGTAGGTAAATCAATATATCTATAGCCTAATAATTTAAAAAATCTTTATTTTATACAACAAATGTTTATTTTCCAACATAATCTCATTCCTTGTCAACATCCTATCCTATATGTCTTTGTTAATCAGATAAATCGAACATTATTCATGAAAACTCCAAATAAAGATTTAGGTAATAATTGTACCAGAATACGGATTTATTGCTCAAACCTTGTGCAGTCTTTATTAGATTAATTTTTGAAACACTCAGTTTGGATCCAATTTACTTAGTAGTATTAACAGTCCGTTAGACTATCTCAATAGCCATTGCAAGTTAGCATGAAAGAAGATACAGACATAGAAACATACAGAAAAAGGCACACTCTTCATTATTATATATGATTATTACAAAGTATTTCATTTCTTTACAAAACATTTACCTTATTATGCGTTTTGTATTTTTAATTTTAAGAATGACCGAGTATTTATTCTCTTTGTTGATTCATTGTACGTTTTAACGACCTTATAATGTATAATGACCTTATAATGTATTAATAACTTTATAATGTATTCATTATGACCGAATAATTATTATCTTTGTTGATTCATTTTAGCTACGAGTCAAACCAGCGGCTCTTCCGGTTCTTCGTCGGTCAATGTTGCACAACCCAACACAATCTATTCTTACCAGAACTACAAACCTGTTGCGAGCGTAGTGACGAAAACGCAACACTTTCCTGTTGAATATCCTTACAACCTACCCAATATAGCTACAACTAGACATCATCAGACAATATCACATGTGGGTCCGAGCTTCGGAGTTGCCCATTTCCCCTCTGCGTTTCACGGCATCTTGCCCACAAGCACAACTAAGTATCATCAAACTACTGCATTCCCCGGTTTAGGCTATGGTTACGGCCCCTTCCCTGGCACCTTAAATTCTCCATTTGGAGCATCTGGGATTCCGTTCCCTTATGTGAATGCAGGGTTTCCCGGTGGAGCGCTGAGTTCGTCAGCTGTTCATACAGTTCATCATCCAGGCGCTTTTACAGCGGCCCTGCATCCAAGCGCTTTCCAGAACTACAACGTTGACACTTCAAATCCATTCTATTTTTATTCAGTGCCCAGTTCACCTGGAAAGATTACTAAGAAAACATCACAAAAGTCTTCTTCGAGCAATAAAAATTAGTAAGTGTTTACTAAAGGAACCGTTTTGTTTAACAGTACTTTGTTAAATGCATTTGCATGTTTGCCTCAAAGTTTAGAGTATTGATTTTTTTTAATATCGTGTCCCTTTCGAACATAGGTTATATGTCACACCACAATTTTTTTTTCCTTGAATTGCCATGACTTCTTGGGAGAGATTGTAGTGTGGTTTCCTGTTGCCTTCTCCACTGTTAGACTGGCAGCACCCAACACTAGAAGGTCCAGTCTACGTTGCTATTTAGCCTACAGCTGGAAGGAAAAAGAAATGGATTCATGCTTTCTAAAATGTATTCGTGCGAAAGGAAACGTAACGGATGGAATTTGAACTCGTCTCACCAATTCCACTTTCCGCGACAATAACCACTAAGCTACCCATACACCTTTTTCTTCTTGGCTATTGAGCAGGGGAAAACTTACAAAAAATAAGAAACCTTTCCACCAAATCAATCAAAGTAATTGCTTACTAGTAAAAACTATTGCTACCAATTAAATATAATTAACTTATGAGAGGCAAAACAGGGGCCCACAATTTCTTTCCGTAAAGAATTGTTTCCTTCTGGCTTCTTTGAACACGCCTTGAATTTGATAAACACATTTTCTCTTTCTTTTCGAATAATGATAATATTATTTGCCATGAAATTCTATAAAATTTAATTAAAGAAATTATTAAACCGCAATGTTTGGTTTCTGTCAAAGTATTATTCCAGCGCGTTGCAAAAAATTCTAATATTATTAAAATGTGACAAACATATGCTTATGGAAATCGAGAACGTTATGTAATTCGTCTACGCTGCAACAAAACCAATCATCAAACACTTACCCCCGTTAAACCTTTAGATATATGTATCTTTGTTACGTTTTAATACGATCTTAAAAAAATATTACATTATATATGGCTCTACCGTCATTATATTTGAGAATATTCAGAATATATTTAGAATTACATTTCAGTTAAGCAATTAATTTTTTATTATGTGTGATTGTGTATCTCTTCTAATCTATGTTCTGGCGATCATTTACACAAGATCGTTAGGTAGTTTATTTGCAACACAACCCGTGATTGTAAAATTTTCCAAGTTCTATTTTCTTTCCTCACTATTTGCCTTAGAAATTCAACTGTCTCTTTCTTATTCTAATTATAAAAGTCCTGTTTTTCTATTTTCCTTAAACCTTCGTCGTTACTCACATGTTCAACTCATGGCATTCTCAGCATCCTTTTGTAGAACTACATCTTTGTTATCTGAAGTCTCTCTTTCATCTTTGAAAAGATCATGCAGCATTCGCTGCCATATATAATGAGTAATATTACATAACAGTTCAACACTCTTTTCTTTGTAATGAATTTTTCCTGTTTCTTAATACTTGACTTATTTGCACTATTACTGACTTGTATTCGTCGCTGGAGTTCCAAGATCTAAACTGATCCCAGTGACAAAAGATTCTTTCATTTTGATTTGAAAATGTAATTTTCGAGTTAGCCTATAACTAAAGTTGAAATTTACGGCTGATCAAGGTGTGACGTTGAAATGTTGACCAAATAGTAATCTAATGCTATACCATCAAGTATAAAGTTGCTCGTGTACCAGTTCCTTAAGTGAATTATAACATTTAGGTAACGAATGAGATTTTTTTTCATCGCTTCTTTCTTATACTTTCAGAACTATTTGATTGCAGAAATACCTGGTGGAACTTCATGAGAAAATGCGTTTCAGGACACGAAGCTAACAAATGATAACCAAAAATAACGTTGCAAATAAAAACGTTGGCAGTGAGATATTCAGAAACTTTAATCCGGATTTTGTTGCATTTAGGGTTGAATTAAATCAACTGAAATGGAATAAAACTCAATTTCGACATTCATATTTTTTTATATTCACTTTTTATCAGTTTTTTCTTTTGTTTGTCTCTCCTACTGATAATAACTATAAAAAAAACACGCGATGTTAGGAAACAGGATAAAATGAATTCGCAATTGAAAAAAAAAAGAGTCTTTATTATAATTTGTATTAATTCTGTTTTATAAACTAACAGTAAGTGGCAGTTTTTATTATATATATCAAGTGACAAATAGTTCGTCATTAGCCTTAATATACTAGCTGCATTTTTTTTTACTTTTTTTAGTTTTCGGTGCAACAGAGATATTGATCAAAACTATAATTGGAAGATGAAAAGTGAATAAAAAGAAATTAAAATAATTATTACAATAGGCAATTGATACCTATCCGATTCATATTATATACTCAGTTTGACGCCTGGTCAAGTACATCTACGCTTTATACTTCAACTCTGCCAAGCGGAGTTACAGTTTCTAAGAGAGAGCGCATAATCTTGCATCATCAATAGTCGAACAAGGCCAGTACTTGATCACGATGACTTCGTTCTTCCGAGCCGTTTAATCTAAGCACTTGGCTACGTGCCCATGTAATTATTATTATCGCAACAGCTACCTCGCTAGAAGAATACAATAGATAGAAGCTCGTATTAATAAAAACACTAAATTTTTTCTAACAAGTGAGGGTCATAGTCATTATACAAGTCCTTTGAGATTAAATTCTGTAATAAGAACAGAATGAAAAGACAATGAGCAAACTAAAACAAAGAAAGATATAAACAAATGTTGCTTAGATGTGTACAAACTTAAAGAAACATAAAGGGAGATAAACATATATTGCTAACGGCGAATGTTTAAATTAATGTCATCCAACTCTCGTTATTTACTACAGCTTAGGTCGTTTTTTGGCACATTAACACAAATCTGGGGTGCCGTATAATGATCAAAGTTACAAATAATGATGTCCGAAAACAATATTGCCAAACGACCAAACAGTGAATTATAAAAAGCTTTGTGGAGTAGTGCATTGTGGTTACGTATTGTTGTGTACGTGTCCGCTTTCCTTAAAGCAAATTTTGGCGTCCTTTTTTCAAATTACCTGAATCGAACAGAAATACGATATCTTAATGTGCCATGTTGATTTACAGTTTACATTTATTTCAAAAGAAATGCGAAAACAAGAAACCAAAAGGAATATCCCATTATTATTTCTCGCGTGTTCAGTCGAGTAAAACTGGAGGTAAAACAGAAGAAATTATGACAACAGACTGGAATGGATGAAAAGGGTGTCATTGACTCAACGTTGGAAAATGTCGTCTTTTATTGCATTAAAGTGTCGGCTCTCTCATAGCTTATCGCCCCTTTTAACCAGAGAAATTATTTTCAGGTTTCTTGACTTAAAGTAAAGATATAACTTGTAAGGTGAATTCTTTTTCTGTTTTTTTTTTTTAACTACGCTCGTCTTCAAGGTTTTCTCGTATATGAATATTTTATTGTGAGGATTTGATATCCTTTGCTCGTATAAATATGGATTACGCTAAATGGAAGCAAACGAAGCCAGTACATCGACTTCGGCACAGGAAGTGTCTTCGCGTATCGAAAATGGAAAATAAAAAAATCATTGTGGAATGAAATCATACCTGGCAAAGTTTGTCTAAAATCTACCCAAGAAATGTAGGGCTCGGCATTCGTCAAGAATTATAAAAGAGCAGCCAAAAGATAGCCATTTCTTAACCAGAAGAAAAGGCAGTGAGCGATTGAAATAGAGGATTTAGAATTTGGGTGCATTATGGTTTTAGAGGGTCTTTTATATGTCTTACCATGCTCGACTTTTGAGCAGCCAACGAATCAGCTATGAGCCTTATTTAGCAAGGAATTTTGCTTGAACACCTGCAGCTCACTATCAAGGAAGTATTCGAACGGCTTTGTTAGTTTGGCATACAAACTTCATATTACGTACAGTACATCTCACTATGAAGTATTGTTAGGTTACTTTTTTAGTATGGGAACAAATTTAGAAAGGTAATCACTTAAATAATCTGGAAAGGAAATATCATCTCAGAAGTCATTCTCCTGACTTAAACGGTCTTGAACACATGTAGATTAATTTAAAATAAACAAAAATATCCAAAATATCGTTCTACAAAGTGACTTCTGCTTTTATGATTTTATTGCTGTTTTATCGCCTATCCTACAAGAGAAGATAGCAGAGTTGATAAGTTAGATACTTGAATGAACAAAAAATTTAACATATTCTATTTTCAAATGCGCCTAATTTTAATCTGTATGAATAAATGTTTTTAAATTGTTTACATCGTTGAAAGACTTACTTCTGTCGCATCCCTGTAAGTATCCCATTATCTTACCTGCTTCAACAATTCAAAAAATAATGAACCCAAAGGGAATTGAAACACGGATATCTGATTAACAATTTATGCATTGCGCCAGCCGCACATTCGAGCTTACAGAATCTGGTATTCCCAAGTAGACACCCATCAAGGTACTGAACAGGCTCGACGTTGATTAATTTCGCTGATCGTATGGGAATCTGTGTTTCAACGTGATGTGGCCGTAAGTCTTCAGTAAATAACAATTCTGTAATAAATATATATATATATATATATATATATATATATATATATATATATATATATATATATATATATATATATATATATATATATTGTATGGTTTCCAACATCACAAAAGTTAACAATTAATAAATCCTGATAAAGTTATTACAATCTAACGTATTTTTGATAATATTTCTTTTACAATTCAATAAATTAACTGCACGCTGAATATGCAAAAATATCGCTGGTGATAAAAACATGTTTATTTAAGTAAAATGTGCGGCCATTTTCTAGAAACTAAAATAACCTACGGGTATATCATAGGAAATTTAAATAATTACATGTTGAAGATAACATATTTTAAAACATCTTCCAGCGTATTAAAGTATTTTAACTTCATATCAATGTTTTTTGTTTTTTTTAATCATTTCACCCCAAGCAAGGTGATAATGCCACTAGGAGGCATGGTGTTACTGGGAGTGAAAAAGAATGAAAAACTTCTAGTGATAAGAAAGAGAAGAAAGAACAATAAAAGAAAAGGATTCAGGAAGACAGGAGATGGTGATTGGCGTTACATTTATATTTTTGAAGATTGTAGGTGACAAAGAAGTAAAACATTGGAAAAGTTTATAAGCGAGAAGTTCGTTTGCTTCAGTTAGGCATGTTTGGAACTGAGATATACAATCTAATAAGTTTTCATTCTTCGGGTCTTCTTGTAACCAAGTTTCTTTCAACAGTTTAAAGGAACACGAACAGAATGTCCAAACACCAACTCAAAACGACTAAAGCCGAGGGTCTACTGAACAGATTCGCGAGCGGCAAATAATTCGACTCTCCATCATGACACTGTATCTCTTGCTTCTGGAATTTGGAGCTGTTAAGCATTCAAACGAGATGTTAGGTCGGAAGGACTTCTCAACATTAATTCTTTTGTCTTCTCGCTTATGAACTCTTCCAATTTATCTGGAATATGAGAAGGTTTTCACTTTCTCATAAGTACATTATCTTTTATAAAATATCTTGTACTCATTTTCTTCAAATTTTTCACCGGCAACACAAAAAACAGGTATAATTACATGATCTATCTTCTGTTCCATCTAAAGTTGATTCCGAGACAAAGGGATATCAATTACAGGCTCCACGTTACCACCAATATCAAATTTATATGGATGTTGAGTAGGATAACAAGAATTTATGTTTTCAGTAGAATTTAGGTAATCATGGAATAGATCAACTCTGCCATTCCTTATATAATAACATTTCTGTTTATTGACTGTTGCTTTCTTTCGAGCACGTGTTGTCATATACGAAGGAAGTACACTAGGGTTTTTAACTTTTGGTGGATGGATGACAGATTTCCCGCCAACCAACTCATTACCCAATAACACGGACACAACTCTTCATAAGTAATTTGGGAACAACTCCCACAACAATAGGTCCTGAAAAAAATTCGGACACAAGTTACATACGATACAAGGGAATTCTAGCAATCTCATTACTAACGCATTGAATATTCACAAATATCCCTGTGGCTAAATTCGACTCACGCGGTAATGATTGGGTAGCTCCCGAATCCGCAAGATTTTAACCTGTATTTTATAATTAGCATTAAATACATTTGCTCCAGACCCAGTCGAAATATAGGGTTTGTATTCTTCCGTAACATTTTCAACAAAATCCTATCTGACATACTGTGATTAAAAGATAATAGCCTCTAGTGTTTATCCTGGGTTAGCCCTCTGGGATCGTCATTCATTTAAAAAGATTTAAAATATTTATTTTGAGAATCCGAACTTGTGTTATTATTTTTATAAGAATGGGGAAAATGGTCAGGGATATATAGTTGATTTGAGTTAAAACTTGGGTTTGAACTAAATTCAAATTTACATCCTAGACAACCTCTTGAGTCAAATGAATTACCGGCTTTATGCTTACTGCGTTTATGCATCTAAACGTAATCATCAACTAACCCAGCCATTTCCTGTACATTATCAACTCGTTTCTCAGCTAAACAAGTTTTCACAAAGTCTAGAACGCCTTCCTTGACTTCTTCAATTAGGATTATTTGTCTCAGTTTGTCGTACTCAAATCCGACTTCTTGAAATAAACTCCATCTATCAAAATAAGTTTCCTTTTGACCGGAAAATTCTACATACGTTCATTACTTTTCTTTACACTACTAAACATCAGAAATGTCTTTATCTACCATATGTTCGGCAATTAATTTAATCATCTGGGCTTTACGCATAGTTTTCTTGACATTGATTTCAATCTTTTTCCGACTTCAAATTTGTGAATGCTGCCATAATCCTTGGTTCCAATTCATTTTACCTGGAGTTTTGTCGGTCTCTCGCTCAACTGCACCCTACACATAATAATCAAGGGGGGTTAAAATCTGGGAGTTACGTGGCCAGATGTAAGGGGTGATGTGGTTGCAGAAATTGTCTGACTGTCATGAATGGGTTTTCCTGCTTGTGTGGCATGGTGCAGAGTCCTATTGCTTGACATAGGATCTTCCAGCAGCCAGCCTCTTGACCCAGGGAACACTGCCTCCTCAAGGCACTCGATGTCGACCTCCGTGTTGAGTCTGAGTGCCTCGCCAACAAATCTGGAAGACCTTTTCTTATCAGAACGATCAGAGTGAGTTTTCCGAGCTGTCATGCTTTCTTAATAGCACATTATATCACCCAAACATCCAAGCTTACATCACTTTATTACTGTTTATTACATAAATACAAGGTGCCGTAAATAAATTGTCATCTAAATTATGCAAAAATGAAAATGACACTATCTCATTTTAACAAAAATATTTACCAAACTCACACAAAAATATCTTGAAATACTAAAGAGTAAATTTATTCAATAAAATCGTCATTGGCTACAATCACGGCATGGCACAGAGTCCTGTTGCCAGACATAGGGCCTTCCAGCAGCCATCCTTTTGACCCAGGGCAGCACTACCTCCTCAAGGCACTTGATGCAAGCCTCCATGTTGAGTTTGAGGCCCTGTGGAAAGATGAATGGAGGCATAACATCGCCATCACTAGTGATCACTTCAAACACCATGTTGTTAACTGGATATATCAACCAACTCTTCCTAAATCCTCTGCACTGCCCTTCACCTAAACACTCTGAATGTTTGTATTGGAGCTTCCGGCGCGAATGATAAGCAGTACAGCATGCCGTTTCCAAATGTCTGTCGGAGTGAATTGCGTCATGGTGGTCTTTTTCTCGCAGACGGTGCCCAACTGACACTACAATTCTGTACAGTTCATAAAATCAAAAACAACCAATGCGCATGCGCGAAATTAAAAATATAAAATGGTGACAATTTACAACTGATATATATATATATATATATATATATATATATATATATATATAAGAACAGTAAGATATATAATCCGGTGTTCTTATAGATATTTTTATTTTACAAAATAGTGCTCGATGTAAATTTACAGAGCATTAATATTATATGTTAACTGATTTAAAATATGAATTGTTTTCGCTACACAGTTCTAACCATGTTTCAAAAATGGTAGCTAAAAGCTTCGAATTTAATTTTGTAATTAAATTAAAGACATTAGTTCCATATTCGCTTGAGGATGAAATGGTATTAATGTATTTGATTTAATTACAAAATTAAATTGAAGCTTTTAGCTTCCATTTTTGAAACATGGTTAGAAATGTGTAAAAAAACATATTTTAAATCAGTTAATTTATATATATATATATATATATATATATATATATATATATATATATATATATATATATATATATAGTGTATTGGGACAGCAGATTATTATTCAAACATATATTGTTAAATATTACAAACATTGAATGTTTGATCATAAGCCGTTCTAAGCTTCGTATAGTTGCTTTAATTTCGGGAGAAAATAAAGACAAAAACTGTCCAACATTTTCATACTTTTTTGTGCTATTCCTCGACATAAGCTTTCGACTTGCATGAGCGATCTTCAGTGTGGTTATACGGACATTTAAACAAAGATATTCACCATCAAAGATGATATTCTGTTATGTTGACATAGAAGATTGCTATGCGATAACGGTCGCGGAATGGCAGGCGTAGGTCGTAAATTCGTGATGTGGTTCTATGACGCCGTATCACGTGAGAGAACGAAATATTAGTAACAGAACCATATGCTTAGATGCAATGCAATACATACACACACACACACATATATATATATATATATATATATATATATATATATATATATATATATATATATATATATATATATTCAAATATTTATGGAAATATTTTGTTCATAAATCAGTAAAGATCAGATTTTTCAATAAATATTTGTTTTTAAACACTAAACATTGATACTGGTGATACTTTTTTTAAAATGACATGTACTTTCAATTTGTATTCGATCATGGCTCACCGCAGACTCTTTTTCACTTAATGATCCGGAAATTCCCAAGACTTCTCGGGAAACAGGAATATTTTTTCATTCAGTGGTTTCCTTACACAGTCTACCATCCAATGTGAGATACCCCAGTCTACCCCGTTATTTAACCCATAGATGGGGATGGGAAGAAGATATAGATTCCTACCTTTGTCAAGGGTATTCGGGAGAAAATGAACGGAACAGACGAAGTCGGAATTTCACCACGGATTACCGATTCTATTTTCCGTGCCGATAACTGTTACGATACTCGCACACCTTGTTAATTGTATATACATTTTAGGGAGTCGATTCAAACACCTAAACGCGCATTCATGCATGTGTGCAGGGGAATTTGTTCAATGGTTAGTAAAGGTCAATTTATGGTACATAATAATTATACTAAATTACTTTGTAATAGTAGTCATAAAATACGTAGAAAATCAGGCACTAAGACACTTTGTGAAAATACCAAGAAAATATTTATAGTTCGTTGGTTTTCAGAAACAAACTTGTCTGCTAGCTTTGGTAACTGAAATCTTCTCGCGACATGTCACCCACAATCCACATATAAAAAAAAAACT